TTTTTCTTAAAGATAAGATGGAGAGAGCCTGTGAATGGTTTTAAATGGCAAACAGAGAAGTATTTTGTCCAAGAGACAATAAAGGTTCCCTTGAAGCTTCTTGAAGAGGATAGTAACAGTCAAATTCATCCATTAGAAATACCAATGTGACAGCTGTATGAGAGAAGAGAATGGATCTAGGGAGAACAGTTAGAAGATCTGTAACCGTTCAGGTGACAAAGGGCTTGAACAAAGGTTAGGGCTGTGAGAATAGAGAGAAAGGGATGAATGCAAGAATAGTCATGAAAACAGAATCATTACTTCTTTCCTTCACTTCACTCCCTGGACTTTTTGGCCACCGAGTCAGTGATCCATGAACTAAGGCTTACTTATTGAGCCTTAAGGACTCAGACCTTTCATGCCTGGGCTCTTAACTTCTTGATAGGTAGTTGTCTCAGTCACTCACTAAATCTAGACCCAGGCTCCAGCCATGCTTCAGTTCACTTTCAGTAGTCTCCCAAACCATGCTGAGGCTCTAGTACCCCCAGTCAATCACTTTACCCTTTTCCTAGTTCTAAATCATAATAAAATTCTTTCATTCAAAACAACTTTGTCATTATACTTGGAAAGAGTTTATCAATCACCATCCCATTAACTATGGTCAATACTTCTAAACAGGAACACAGAAATTTAGTGAATAATCAAATTTGGCTTATTTCAAAGAGTCATAAAGAGAGATGAGAGAAATCCAAGTTTTGTGGAGGACACATACTCAAGAGTATAGCAAGAAAGAAAAGGGTAAGTTATAGCTTTGTTAAGAAAACTTCTATCATTAAAGGTTAGTCAAAAGTCAACATGATTCTGAATAGGAGAGTTTTGATATACACATGCCCACACAATTGTACCCATTAGACTCTCCTTAAAATGCAAAGAATAACTAGCATCACAAATGGTAACTATTACCAAGTCTCTTGTTCTGCTAAAGCAGAAATACCACTTCACTTTGTCAAATTCATTAACTGTTTGGGCTATGTTTAAAAGATAATACTTAGACTTTTCCTTACAGGAACAGTAGATATTATCCAGTTATGATTTTTTATTTTGGATAAAGTTATAATATTTGAGCAACTAAATGAAAGTGTCAAATACTAGATAAGCGGGGTTGGAAATTCCTATCCCTTGATTGTGGTTTGATTTAAAAATCTCTAGTTGGTTTGTGAACTGAACTATATAGCATGTGGCAAGCTTCCCATTTACTACACACTAGACATTGAAAGAAGCTCCTTGATTGCCCACAAGGGAAAGGAAGAGCAGATGGTAGGGGGAACTGGTCCTCATCACTCAGAGGAGGCAACGACTACAGGATGAAGGCGAAACCTGATGGATCCATTCAGCCTGCTAAGGAAGTTATAGAAACATTTCATGAGGACAAAAAGGGTATGCTGAAAACATTACTAAGAACTCTTATCCAGCACATTCCCACTGTGTTTCCCTTTCTTTCCTTATACCTGACAGGCAGAATGACTTCATAGGCTGGTAACTGCTATTGCTCTGTTTAGGTCCGTAACTATATAGATATGGCACTGATTCTTTCATTGCCACATACTGCTCACCATATTTGCACATCACAAACAACATTTTCCCACTCAAATAGAAATAGAAAAGATAATTGTATTCTGAATATAATACTGTCCAAAATACAAAATCTTTCAACTAATGTTCAGTTTTGATGAACACCAGATTGAAAGTTGAATATCAACTGGCATAAGATTTTCCTACTTCCTCAGAGGCATATTTGCAATAGTAGCAGTGATAAAATTAAACCTCAATGATGTTTGATTTGAGGTTAAGTTAATATGTTTGGGAACCAGTCTTCAAGTAACAGCCAAAAGATGAGATAAACCTAGCCATTCTACTTACCACCACAGAACAATATAAATTATAAGCAGTCAATGTTCAGGAAAAAAATGTGTTTTCTGACTATAATTTATAGAAAGTCCAAAATGGAAATCACACTTTATAAATACTAGTCCTTGTTCATAAAAATAAATGATTATTCTAGACAATGAATGACATTTGAGTTGAATGAGTCAGTTTTGTTATGGCAATAGTTCTACTCAGTAAATTTAATTTAAGAAAACAAACTAGAAACAAAATGTGAACACAATACTGGTCACATAAAATTAGAACCCTGCTTCCTGATATTTAGTTTCTGTTCCTTTGTCTGCACTCAGTACCTAATGTCAAGGAAAGGTAATTCTTTACCTGACCTTTGCCTTTTAAAACAAGTGCACTAGGCTTTATGTACGTCCATGCATACTGCTGCTTTTCTGTATTACACTTAGGATTATGTGGAGAACGTAGTTCTATAAAGGGGTAAACTGTCTATTTCTGGGTGAGGGACTAACTACAGTACACTAGGATATCATCTAGTACATCTCCTCTGTCATAAATCAGCTCTGTTAGTGTTCTAAATAGTATTCTGATGTGCTTGAAAGTGATATTTCACCTTTACAAAAGTTTATGCTGAGATCATTTTACTGATTATATGATTAGATCCATTATTAGAATTTGTGGAATGATTTAGCTCTTTCCAAAATTCACCTCTGATACTTGGCTCATGGAAGAAGTGCATTCCAGACATAAAGAGAAAAAAAAGAACCTAGGTCAGGCTTTTGCCTCTATGTCTTTTGGGTTAGTACGGTCTAATAAAATGAAATTTTAGGGGAAACCAATCATGGACATATATATGTACAATTTACTCAAAGTCTATTAAAAACAATGACTTAAAGTTTATCCTTTCCAAAGAACAAAAGCATTCACATCTACTTTTTTTCAACCTGTAGCACATCTATTTTTTCTACTTCTATCACCTTATTAAAAAATTAATGTAATTATTATCCACATTTGACAAATGGAAAGATTGAGAATAAAAGAGATTAAATGACCACCTAAGGCACAAAGGTGGCAACCATAAGTGGAGGGATTTGAACCCAGGTCCTCTGACCCCAGAGTTGGTATTTTTTTTAATTAACTTTCAATATATATGACCTTACCTATATACCATTCTAAATTTCAGTTATGCATATATTGTTAGATTCCCTCTTATAAGAGGAAGCACTGCTAATGAAATAGCATTTTGGAAGGCAAAGAAACACTAGTACTTTTTATGTTGCAAATTATTTGCAGAATGGATAACTAAGAGAAAAAAATAATGCATCTAAAGAAAACATTTCCTTACACATAGTTTTTGTTGCTGTTGAATGGTCCAGCAGGCCTGACTGATGAACTTCTAGCTCTTTCTACTTGACAAGTAACCTAATCAACTCAATATTTTTTTTTTCTTTTCTGCCAAGAAGCGCTTTGGTAACAGTTATGTAGAAAGAATACTTCATTCCGAAGGCAGAATTTACTGAGGCCATAAGATTAAATTCATAATCCTGTGGAAATGGTTGGAGATCTGGTGAGACATTCACTGCCAGGATGAAGTACTGGACAGTATCCTGTAGGGAATAATGCTGCACTGGCCCCCAGGGGATGGACCAGATGGGACTTAATAGTTCTTTTCTACTTCTAATTTCTATGATAATTGCAAGTTGTCACGTGGCACATTTCTTTAAGGCAAACTATCTTTTAGCCAATTTAAATGGAAGAATCCCTGTCAAGAACACATCTATTCATGGAATCTCTTATTCTTTTATTCAAAATTGTATTTATGAAAAGCACCATAGGTAATAAATACTCACTTTTCTCTAAATATTAGCATGAACATGCATTTTTATAGGTGATGTACTTATAAATCAACATGTAGCCATCATTTATTAGTATAAACACCAACTAGAAACCAGGACACATTAAATTCTACTAAGTGGGTCTGAGGACTTTTGGGAGAATTCTGTTCAGTTCATTGAATTTTTCTGTCTCATAATCTGAAACAATTCAGAGGGCTTTATAAGAATTGTGGTATAGTTAATTTAATCTTTGAGAAAAATGAAAACTGTCACTTGCTATTGTTATGGAACAAGATCAGAAATTGGAGAAAAAATATAGTAAGAAAGGAATTATAACTGAAATATTACATTTGTGACCCATCGCCAGTGAACCTTCCTTCACAAAGGCTTCCCTGATTCCCCATGGATGTGATTTCATTGTTTCTTTTGAATCCTCGAAGAATTTTACTTATCGCTCTTGAGGTATTTATCAGTCTAATTCATATTCTAGTTGTTATGTGCTTCTATCTTCTCCATACGAAACTGTAAACTCTTTGAGGGTAGCAACTATCTCTGTATCTCACTCAGTGCCTAACAGTATGTTCCACATTAAAGAAGTTCTGAATAAATACTGTGGAATGAATTTATGGATGGAAGAAAACCATAAGCAAGTATTAGTGTTTCTTGTGTGCAAATCACAGATATTTATATTTCAGTAAGTCAATGAGCATTTATTAAGTGCTTACTATGTATCAGGCATCAAGTTAATCATTGAGAATGCAAAGAAAGGTGGAAACAGTCTCTGCCCTCAAGGAGCTCACATTCTAATGGGGCAACTGACATGTAAATAACTAGATACATATAAGATATATACAGAGTAGATGGAAGTCAGAGGAGAAGACTAGCAGCTGGGCAACAGGGGAGAGAAGGACTGTGTGGGCTGGGAAAAGCTTCCTTCAGAAATATGATTTGAGTTGAGTCTTAAAATAAGTCAGGGAGACTTAAGAGGTAAAAGTATAAAGGGAGAGTATCATGAAGATAATTTCGAATTTAAAGTAGCATAAAATCATTGCATATATTAGAAAATTACCAAAAACTGTGATGAAGCTATAACTTGATGTTTTTTGTTTTAAACCCACAGGATTAGTTTGAAGTTCATTTAAAATGTCTCTGAAAAAAATTCTATCTGTAATTGACTGTAAAAATTTCTCTCCTATCCTGTTTTCATTACTTACCTCTTGTAACCACAGAGTTTTCGTCATACTGAATTCTTCAACACAATGAAATCACGGCTACAAAGCCAAAGGATACAAACTTTGGTAGAGGGGTATGAGAGACTTCACAGCCCTGCTAGCATTGATGCAGGTAGCACATATAAGACTTGGCAGCAATTTTGCAGTCACTATTGCTCCATCAAACAAAGGCCCAAAAAATGGAATCTGTGGAAGAAAAGAGAAGTCATTTAATTGTTAAAAACAGCACCAATGAACCCTAGATGAAAATGTGATCAATTAGCAAATGTAATGACTACATATTTACTATTCATGTCTATAGATTATACTTTGAATTTAATAGGACATAGTTTTCTTCTGAATCAAAACAGGATAGTTCTTCACTGTTATCTACTTCTGAATGGCAGTAAAGATGTTTTACCACAAAATTAACAAATTGTTAGCTTATTTTGAACACTGTCACTTACAAAATATGTCTAATTTACTAGCTAGTATTCTAAATGCATATATCCCACAACATGAACAACAGAGTTCACATCTGAGTGAACATTTTCTGATAATAGTTTCGCATTTTTCTGAGAATAGTTTTAAAATCTGCAGCATTTTCTGCCATGGGGTTGCATTAATATGCAAAAATCTCAGAGATAACCAGTGACCTCCAAATCACCAAATCCATTATGTTATACCTAGTTCCTATTCTCTATGACCTCTCCACTAAATATCTGATACATCTGCCTACCTTTTCTTTTCTCCCTTGTTTTCAAAAGAGATTGTGTTTGTAAAGCACTTAGCCCAGTGCTGGCACAGAGTATTATATACATGCTTATTCCCTTTCCTCCTTCCCCTTTTCTATAACATTAGATCTAAGTTTTCCTTCTATACCTCTGACTGCACCTTCTATGTTTCCTTCCTCATTCCACTTCCTAATGGGGGAAGAGAGAGTGTTTTCTCAATTCTTTGGCCTCTATTTTTTTTCTCCCTACACTCTCACTTGAGGATTATATTTATGTTCACTAATCAGGCTCCAAGCCTCAGAATTATCTTCAATTCCTCCCTTTCTCTATTATTCCCATATTCAATCATTTATAGCATATAATTTATTCTTCTTTCACAAAGTCTTTTGCATCCATTCTTTCTATTCTCATTGACATCACCCAAGTTCAGGCCTTTATCAAATTATGCTATCTAAATGATTTCCGTGCCTCTACCTTCTCTCATTTCCAATATCTCTTGCTTACAACATGCAAGCTTCACTGTGTAAAATAATGCTTTTATCATGTCGCTTTCTTTCCCCCCACCTACCACAACAGCTTCTTATGTCTTACAAAATGTGTTATTAATTCCATAATCCTAAAAAGTGTTATATATTCTAGCCCTCCATACCATTCCAACTTCATCAATGCAAATAAAATACAGAGAACTGTGACCAGAACACTTCGTCTGAAGTAGGAGGTTCATGAAGAGGAAAAACTAGTACATTCAAAGTTCCCTGGGCTTTCTGTCCCCAGTGCATGTGACTCATCCTTATGTACCTGTCTGAAATGCATTTACTGCTACTTTGCTACTCAATACTTTCCATTCCTCAAGATCCAAGTTCTATTTTTCAACCTTGTCTATAAAGAAGAACTTGACAACTCCATTCAGAAGTGGTTTTTCTACATCTTCTGTACTTTCATGGCACATATCTCAGCATTTATTATTTTGTATTATCACAAATATTAAGTATATACTATATAATAACTACATTATAAATCCGCTTGAAGACTAGGATCCTGTCTTTTATGCATATAGAAGAGGTTTAGACATAGTAGGCACTTACTTAAAAAAAAAAACACCAAATGAATTAACTCATTCTTTCTCTAGTATTGACCCTTTTTAGTGCTACATAGGTAGATGCGGAGTAGTAGACCTAGCATCCTCATCCCTTCTTCCTACAACGTGCTAAGTACAGTGTTCACCCCCTGGGCACTTAGTTCTTATCCAGATAGTCCAAAGCCAAAGCCTTATCACTCAGAGACTGTGACTAAACGGTTCATGGTACAATGGGAAATTGTCAACAGTAACATAATTACTGATATCTGAAAACTAACAATGTGAGGGGAAACACTATAGATTTGATTATGTGAAAAGCAAAGCCAATTATAGTAGTTTTATGTTAATGGCTGATCATTTATATATAATTAGCATGAAGCAAGTAAAGATTATGCTTATCATTAGAAGAGCCACATTAACTTTGCTGTAAGTTGTATGTGATTTCAACAATTTCATTACAAAATCTAGATAAGCATGCTGTTATCATAGTCTACAGCTCATGAAACAAAGTTGTTTGCTCATGATTTTAAAAAATTAGAGGGAATATTATTGTTTAGGATAAAACAACTCTATAAAGACTTTGGCAAGCATGGAGTTAAAGTGAATTTGCTAAAAATATCCAAACGTGTGTGAATTACCACCAGCTCCATATAAGAATACACCCAAATCAACTCTTATGGATGGAAACATCTACCTCTACAGACTTCATGGTGGTACAGATAAAATCAGGTACTGCTTCATTTTTTTTATCTAACTAAGTAAAGCTAGCCATATTTTGATTTACAAGGAGAATAAAAATATGAATTTATTTTGTAAACCATTAAAATAAAGTAATTCATGAAATACTTAATTAAAATAAAATAGACCTTCCTAAATGACTGGGCCTTAATCCAGATATGCCAATTCCAATATCTTATTAGACACTGTTAAAATAATATCAACTAAAGATGAACTAAACCAATACTATTTTTCACTACAATTATCCATCAAAAAACTAAATCTAGTTCTACACCCCTGAACAAATTATTTTCATAACCTAAATAAATTTAAAAAGTTATTAAATGCATACTATGTATAAGAAGTAATTGAGATGCCTCTTACAGCATTCCTTAAAAATAACTAGGGCAGAATCTTTTGAGAAGTTTGTTCCAGCACAGCTGGTTTCTAGACTGGGTACTAGACATAAACAACACTAATAATTAGCTCAATGGGTCTATAATCAGGATAAGTAACATACACAGTGTTAGAGATTTCTATGTCCATTTTAATTTTTCTTTCATCAGAATTGGATCCAGACCAGTACACTTTTACACTCGTCTCTTTTCTTCACCAGATTTTGCGAATGCAAAGAAAGCTTTTGAAGAAAAGGGATGACATTGAAGTCCATATTGCCGCACAATTACCCTGGCAGTCTAAAGAAAGGACAAATAGTTTGGGCAATGACAGATGAGAAAACTTGAGGCACAAAAGGCACTCTGAAATTTCCCTTTATAATCTTGTGGCACATCTCTTAAAAGAACAAATGGAGCCACCTTAATGTGACACCACCTACTCCTGCCAAATCACCAACACCTTCTGGCAAAGGGCAATGTACATCTGACCTCTGCTTATTGTTCTAAAGAGATAATCATTAACCCATGAAATTAGAATCATTGCCTTAGAAGATCTATAATTGTCAGATCAAATACACTTTCAAAAATATAAATGCAAAATACTTTATTTCCTGAATTTCATCAGAATAGCGGACATTTGTATCAAAGGCATGAAAGGTCAAAATCTTTGTGCTTTTGGGTACTCCTTTAATTATTACCAAAACTTTGTGATTTGCTAAAACAAACCAATAAACAAAAAACTCTGAGTCACATTTCAATTGGATTTGATAAACTTGCCTAAAAATGTGTAGCTTTGTACACAAAGAATCAACTACACAATTACAAATCATCTGTCATGAAAAATAAATGGAAACAAGAAACTATACTAGCATGTTTTCATGTATGTAATGGGGACTGGCACATGTGCAGAACATCTGTGGTGTCATCTCCTGATGTGGCAAGTATGGGAAGCCTGCATTGGGAAGAGTCAAAAGAGAAATAAGCAAGGGCTTTGTGCATGTGGCAGTCCTCTTTATACTTGAAAAGAAAACTAATATAAGAGAAAGAACACTAGAAATTGATTTTAAGCAGAGGTCTACCATGAACTCCTAACTAAGAAGAGTAAAGAGTCTTAAGTTCTTAGAATGTTTATTGCATCCTGACTAAAAAAAACTATTACTTGGTAGAACAAAATAGTCTTCAAGGTTCTCTTCAAACAAGGTATTTCCAATAAAAGCTCTCCAGGTCACATAACCAACAAAATGAAGGACTAGATTTTGTTTCAACTCCCAATTACATACCAGAAGAGAGAATTTGCAGCTATTTTCCCAAACAAGAAATCAACCTGGCACTCAGCTCTCACTTTTGGCTCCAAGAAGCCCTTGCATGCACAGCAGCCTCACACTGGTAAACTGCCTCAGCAGATGGGCTAAACTAGGTTGAGGCTAAACCAGATTGAGGTTAACCAATGAGCTTCAAACCCATCACTGAGTTAGGGGGTGTCCACCCCAAGCATGTGAATACTTCCCCGAAGGAATGGGCAAATGAGAACAATTTGTTCAAATGGCCATGAAGGCAGCTGAAGCAGACGCTGTGAAATGCTTAGAGCTTGGTCAGACATCAAAGATGCCAAGGTTACCCACTGTATCCCAGGCCATCTCCAGTTGTCCTGACTTTTGTCTCCCCAGTGGACTCTGATAACTGAGGAAGAGAGAATGAGTCTGTACATCCCAGGGAGATCATAGAAATGGGAAAAGGACCCATATGTACAAAAATATTTACAGCATCTCTTTTTGTGGTGGCAAAGAATTGGAAATTGAGAGGATGCCCATCAATTGGGGAATGGCTGAACAAGTTGTGGTATATGAATGTGATGGAATACTACTGAGCTATAAGAAATGATGAATAGGCTGACTTCAGAAAAACCTGCAATAGAACATAGATAATGTTAATAAATGTGTTTTTTTTAAGTCATATGTAACCCACAGGGAACTTTATGTATGGCTTAGTGGCCATATTTCTATTTCAGTTTGACACCACAGGTATATAGTTAGAGGGAGGTTTGAAGCTATAATAACTTAAAACTGCCCTAACACTTCTGGGACATTCTGTATAGTAACAATAAGAGATTAACAGAGTGCTTTAAAGTTTGCAAAATACCCTTTGACCCAGCAATAGCACTTCTAGGGCTATATCCCAAAGAGGTCACACAAACAGGGAAAGGACCTACATGTACAAAAATATTCATAGCAGCTCTTTTTGTGGTAGCAAAGAATTGGAAATTGAGAAGATGCCCATCAATTG